ATATATATATATATATATATATATATATATATATATATATGACCAGCTATACATGAATATATAGATACAAATTGATGTCATGATTAGTGGTGAACTGAAGATATATGTGAATATATTTTTATACGTATAATAGTTATATATATATATATATGTATATTATAAAATAGTGCAGATCAAGTGGGAGTAAGATAGCCTCTGCATTCATACATTAAAATTCTCTCAAAATTCACTGTATTAGACGATCATGATAGAAAAGATCGCGAACATGTAAAAAATATAAAATGTAGGAAATTGAATTTGGCATATTTGTATGTGTAAATTATGTTATGATACATGGAAAGACTTAAGTTAGGGAAATTCAGATCGTCACTGGCAGAAAAATCAGTGTACTAAAATGCGGACTAAATCTCAATAATTATAATGAGAGGATGATACGTTTATGTAAAATCAGCGATATCTAACGATAAAGAAATGACTACAAGCATTTGCACATTGCACAAATTGAATATAAAAGAAATCCGAAACATCATGCACACTTTGCCGGAATCGTGTTAAAACACGTTAGTCTTTTTGTTAAATATCTTTTCTTTTAGATTAGGACCATTTACCATAATACCAAATGCAACTTTTAAATTTTCGCAGTATCGATATGGCAAAATGTTCTTTGTTTCTTTCTTTTTTTTTTGAACACTTCTCACAACGGTATGTAATTCGTAGAAACATCGAAATTTCATTCGAAGTCTGTGATTTAATGAAAATACGACTTCTATATGCGTTTCACACTTATAACAAACTTAAATTTCACACGCCGCAGGATCCAGCAGTTCGTCCCAATTGATACTCCTTTGAAATACCTCTTGTTGCAACCATAATTCGTAGTGTTGTTTGAACTCCTCCGTCAATTCCACGTTTGCACCGAGTACCGATGTAACTGACGCATCGACCGGTTCTAGCTCCTCGTCTCTCGGGGTATTCGAATATCTTCGATTGTTGAACTGATCGACGCAAGTGCGCAATTCGCATTCCTCTACTTGAAAATCCCACGGCCGCGCTTCTAAATCTAATCGATAGACGTAATTAAGTTACAAACGTACGCACACCACATCTTGTCAATTTTGTAGAATTCTCATTGAAAATTATTCAAATTAATTACCATTGCCATACGCCCAGTCGTCGTTAAGGCGATGTCGAACCTTCGAATAAATTACACTAATAGTTTTCATGTTAGTCTTCCTCCACTGTCGACCGAGGTATTTGGTTTGCATTTTTAATAATTTTAAAACGTACAATTGCATCATCGCATGTCGGACTTTTAATGTGCGTTTTAAAATAGGTGCTGATTTGAAAACAACTAACATCTGCGAATAAACAAGAGTATTAAATATTTTATACAAGTATAAATAATTGTTACTAATAGCTCACCATTATTCTACTGTGTTTCCATTTGGTTAATTTATTCAAAATTCTCAGCAAATTGATGCAAGAGAAGACGTTTCTCCAGGAGAAGTTCTGACTGTGACCGATTTCGAGACTTTCGGTGGTTAACTCTGGTTGATCGCCGATGACACACATGGGGAAGTCCAGGATAGGAATACTGTGGCGATATAAATAAACAGTTATATGTAACGGTATGTACGACCTAAAATTCACAGTTTTGTAATTACATTCGTACTTACACATTCTTTGCTTCAATATAAGCTATAATGTTCTGATTTAAAAATTTCAATACAAGAGGTATACAATTGGCAAATACTAAATGTTGCGACATAAATTCAAACTGGTATATATGATTCAGTTTAAAGTGTTTGAGTAACAGTAATAAAATTGCAGAAACGGCTTTAACAATTATCTCTTTGTGCCGATTAACATCGATTCCTAGCTTCATCGACTGCAGCACCGTCATTCTAAAAATATGATAGGATATGACTCCACCAAATACACACACATTCCAATATTATATTAATAAATTAAAGAAAATAATATTTTCAAAAAAGGCATATTACTATTGCACATTGTTGTTTATACTTACGGCATTTCTTCCGGCAACACATCAGCTAGGATATTAATACTATCCGACTTAGATTTACTAGTTGGCGCAGCAGCAAGTAATATTTTTAACAACGCGATCATATACTGCGGTAAATTCGGTAATATGGCTTGATAAAGAATCTCTGTTGGTGTCTGACGAAGTGGCGGTTCTGATGTACTCATCGGATTTCTTGCTATCTCCTCCTCTTTCCGTATCTGAATTTCAGCTAAAGACGTGTACATATGCTGAAATATATCGTAATCAATATGATAAATGTGCTATGCAAAATGCAATGAGAAATACTAAAAAAAGAAAGAAAGATACCTTTTTCAGGGTAGTAACCCCTTCGTGAATTGGTTGCGGCAAACCTGCTAAGCTTTCCCTATCGCCCTGTAACTTATAACCGACGAATTTCAGCCTCGCGACTTCCAAGAAAGTATCTATGTCCTTTTGTCTCACTTTGGGTGTCCAAGGCAAACCTAATGAATGATATTAGAGATTAATACCGAAATAACAGAGTCGAGGTAAGACCTTACCCTTTCCCTTTATAAATTGCGGAGTGCTTGGCCTTAATTGTGACTGATTATTTTGATCTTCATAATACGTCTGATTCCAACCACCAGGCCCACCAGGCCCCAGGAATACGATCAGTTCACCGTCATTCTCGTTCGTTGCAGTATTGTTTGCAGGTTCCCCTCCCTCATACTCCATACCTAAGCCTGGATCATCCAACGAGCTTTGTTTCATCAGACTCTGGAAAGTATCAGGCAATTTAAGGACTGTATTGGTGCAAAATATATATATATGATTTCAGATTAATGTTGCATTACCCGTCGAAACGGTCGATTATTCCTCTTCTGATTTTGTGTTTCTATTAAGTCTGCCGCGCTCATGGGCGGAGAGCTGGCTCTCATATTCCTGGCAACTTCGATAGTGTCTTCTTGTTTCGTGTCCAGGCCGGCTTCCTCGCGATACTGCTTTTTCAAGTCTTTAAGTGTGTCGATACCACCAAGAGAGACCAGGATTAACTTCCACAGCAACAAAAGAACCTTCTTCATGGGAAAATGTGGTGCTGAGCCGCTGCAGAAGGACGTTACCATGCCGAGAAGTTTAACAATCAGTAACTCTTCCCCGTGCGGATTTACTGCAGAGGAAACATTAATCTACTAGTATTTTTTGAACATTTAGCTTTCTTAGATTGACATCCATTAAGGCACACTGTGCAAACGCAACGACGTACCAAGGTCCTCTGCGAAAGCTTCAACAGTGTCCTCATAACTACTCACTTCGATCATTTGCAATTCTTTCCACATAACTTCTGTTATAATGTACAAAACGGACAGAATGACTCTTAAGTCTATTGAATCAGCGAGACTAACAGCTAGCTTTCTCATTGCTGAGGTAGCAGTTGTGCTATTTCTGAAAACAATGGTACAATGCATGTAAGAAAGAAGTTCAACAAGAACTGGGTATTTCAGTGTTAGCAGATACAAGTGACAATCTTACTCAATCTCAATGTTTAGCAGTTCAACAAATGCTGAAAAAATGCCAGCTTCATAGAGTAACATTACGTTCATCTTGGTCCAGTCTTGTTGCTCTTGGTCAGACTGTACCTCAGCCCAACAACCCTGAGCTAAATAAAGGATACATCGAGCAGCCTTCATTCTGAGCTGCTTATTAGAGGTCTCCAATTGATCTAATAATTTGTAGATCACTGACCTCCGGTCTGATGGATGCACTTTTTGCCACCATGGTCGTAATTTGTACCACTCCATCTGATCTTCAAATGCCTAGAATTTGCAAAAGTAAATATTGAACTTACTTTTTTTTACTTTATTAATTTTGTTCATTTTTATCATAATATTTTTTAAAACAGAATATTACCTTAAGATTAAGTTGCAACTCATACTGTTCTGTATAACTATACAACTCAGCAATCTCATTAGCATGTGTGTCAGTGTCATTGTATTCAAACTCCAGATCTGTCCTGTTTCCTTCCTGAAACAATAAGCACAGTAAAATGAGAAAATAACAAAGCATAATTATGAAATAATTCAAGCAATCTTTACTGAGACACAAGGAGCAAATCAAATTTGTATCTGCTTAAAACAACTGCTGTTTTATATATTAAGTTTACTATAATATGTAAAAAAATAATTTATCATGTTCTCAGAAAAAACCAATTTTATACAGATACTATCTACATTTAGATATAAAGCAATATACAAACTATATATAAGAACAACTACAGGAAGTATCACATATATTATATATTTATAAGTATTATTACTTGTGGTTATTATCAATTATTAGATATTTGGCAGTATTATTTCAATCAGGATGAAATTATAACAAAAATTGACGTATGGGAGTGCTGTCAAAGAACAGGTTAGAAAAAGGGTGAATGCAAGTTCCCGTTTGTGGCTGCACCGCCGCGTTATACATTCGAGCGCGATTATTGGACTCACATCGTTGCTGGCTGCTCGCCGATAAGAATACACTATTGAGGAACGAGGAACGCATTTTCCGTTCCCGTTCGCGTCCATTTCGACGACAAGAACCAAGGAGCAGAATCGCACGGGCTTAGCCGTGAAGCAGTAATTGTTCTGCCATCTACCAAAACACGAGGAACTATTTTAGAGAGCCCAATACTACGCGCGTATGTGTGTGTGTGTGTAGGCTCAGGATTTTGTTTATATTGCATGCATTTATTGCATCCAGTTAGCTAGGATTCGTTTAATAGCAATGAGAAATTATATAGCAATAAAAACTGAGAATATGTCGAGAAGCTCTTGAAGTAAAAAGGGACACACACATGCACTCACACAAACGTGACTATTGTTGCTATATTATTGTCATCATGCACACTTGACATTCTCTTGCGATATAATAGTAAGAAGTAAAATGCATTTAATACAAGCGCATAACCTAATATGAGTGCGTGTAGCCCTTACCATATTTAACCTAAAAACGTCGATGAGAGAACAGTCAACGAAGAATCACTCTGCGGCTATCGGAGTTCTCTGTGCGCATTAGGATGTTTAGAATATTGACACAACTCATCGTATGCCATGAACGTGTTCAATGGTACTTGATGTATCAATGAACTTGAGTATGTTTCTGCCTACAAATGCATAACTTCACTTCCAATTACGTTGTAAACGTATTGCTCATTTCAGCGCGGGTTATAGCGGAGCACTTCAGACAAATTGATGCTGATTGTTAACACACTACTGCAATTATTAATAGAACAGGTAGAATAGACGAAATCACCGGAATACCTTTCACTATTATCACAAATTTTTTTAAGATGCTTTAATAAAGATAAGGACAATCTGGAATGATCCAGCCCACCATCAAGTGCACCTCCAAAATAAAATCAGTCAACAGCGATCAACACCTCGGAAGAGTAGGGATGGACAATGTTCGCTAAGGGTGCGTTCAGGAAGCAGGTTCTCAGCGTTATTTAGTGCTAACGTATCGTTCTATTATTGTACGTCTAATGCCCATTTCTACCAACTTTAGTTAATTTAACTAACTGGTTATTCCAACAGAATTGACCCAGAGAGAAACTTGGGGTGTTTACGTGTAGTAATCACAGACTTCTATATAATTACTAGAGGCGTTTTTCGTTTCGTGATACCGTTTAGTTGGTTGATTTGTTCCACTTAACGCTCGTAACACCTCGAGCAACAAATAGCATGTTTGACTGGCTCTGGGTTAATCCACTCTGGGTTATTCAGCCTACGTTTATTGGTCAAACAAGTATTTATAAACTTTATGATTGGCTAGTAGAAACTTATGACGTCATTAATCGCTCTCGGAGCGATTAACCCAGGGCCAGTCGAACACGTTAAAAGATAGAATGACGTTCACGGCGTTGCGAGCGTTAATTGGGCCAAACTAACCAACCAAACGCTACCGTGATTATCAGGAATGGGTAATATGCGCGGCAGAAAGGTATTATGCACAATTCTGCGTATAATATGCATAAAATGTCTATCGTGCACAGAAAAGGCGCAGAATACACAGAAAACGCGCAGAATATGCAGAAAATTCCTGAGACGCACCCACTCTAACCTAAAATCACTGAAATATATACTACCTGGAACGCGCGCTACCTCTTGAGTATTGCGGGATGAGAGAGAGCATGCTTGTGGCTCTCGAATAGTGCTCTGTCTTTGTTTAGTATAGTCTGAACCAAAAGCTAAGTCGGTTAATTTCTAAACATCAGCTGAATTTCCGAATTACGAATCATTTTTACTTTGTTTTTCTTAATAATAAGTCGATAAGTGAATACTAATAAATGAGAAAAAATATATATATTTTTTTTTATATCTTATAGCATGTTCGACTGGTTCTGGGTTAACTCACTCTGGGTTATTCAGCCTACGTTTATTGGTCGAACAAATATTCATAAGTTTTATGATTGGTTAGTAGAGACTTATGACGTCATTAATCGCTCTCGGGCCGGTATTCATAGTCAGATCTTATATTTATGGTCATCTTAAGTACTGTCTTAAGATGTTATGAACCAATCACAGAGCCGTATTCTTATCTTAGACATTACTTGAGACGATTTTGAAATAAGATTCGACTATGGCTTAGTTTACATCGTGCACTTGATACGCGTACTAAATAGTAACTTTCTATTAGAAAATCTTAATATCGACAATGCATATCAACGGCGACGCATTCAATCAATACAATACGTTTTCTTGATAAGTATTATATCAGCTTAATATATCGTTGTTTATATATATCGTCGATATTAAGATTATCTAATAGAAAGTTACTATTTACGATGTAAATCAAGTCTATAGTCGGTATTTATAGTCAAATCTTATATTTAAGACCGTCTTAAGTTTATCTTCAGATGATGAACGGATCATTTCATTGGCTACGGAGTATCTGAAGATGAACTTAAGCCAGCCTTAAAAATAAAATCCGACTATGAATACCTATGAATACGGCTATGAATACTGGTCTCAGAGCGATTAACCTAGGACCAGTCGAACACGCTATTAGTTTTGAAGACTCCGTTACGAGTCGCCACTATACTAACCGAGAAAACAAAGTAGTAATGCAAAATTCACACCGCGTCCGATGTCCGACATACAACGTCCGATATCCAATAAGAGAACAGCTTTCTAATACAGAATTCAATTCTTCATTGGAAAGCTATTCTTTTATTGCAGGGGATAATAACTCCCGTCTGGTAAGTGGCACTAGCTACACCTACCGCCCTCTGAGATTGTCTCCGGAAGTGGCCGAACTAAACGGTGACGTCACGCGGAGTGGGGATGCGCGCCAATAGAAGTATGAATGGCACGCACAGACAGACGTTATAGGCTGCGTTCAGATTCCTTACCAGGGTGCACTCTAATACAAGAAGTGCTATAGTATATGTGACATATACTATAGTGTTTCTAGTAACAGAGTGCACCTAGGTAGGGAATCTAAACGCACCCATAGAGAGCAATAGCAAGCAACTTATGCACGTATGGCACGTATACAGTTGTGTGCATGCATATATGCACATATATAAATGTATATCTTTTACTATTTTCATAAGATTATGAGAATTAAAAAATGAAAGAATCAAATAATATGAGGTATCCGATAACTCTCGCGATGTTAATAAAGATATGATATTTTATATTAATATGATATAAGGTTAATATTATATATATATATACTTATAATGTAGTATTGTTAGTGTGTGTGTGTGTGGTGCATGCGCGCGTGATGAGTGTATATGTGTGGATGTATGTATGTGTTGTATGCTACTGTATAGGTATTGTAGGCTAGTTGCTACTTCTACGATTTAACTAATTGTTTTAGTACTATTACTACACTATTACTACTCTACAATGATTAGTAATAAGATAATATATATATTTATAGCTTTATATTAGTGCTCGCTGTTGCTCGCTGTTGTTCGCTGTTGCTCGCAGTTGCTCGCTATTGTTCGTTAAAACGTTTCAAGAACGTCTGCCTATGTTCGCCAGTTCATATTCATTGGCGCGTATCCCCACTCCGCATGACGTCACCCGTTTAGTTCGCCCACATCCGGAGACAATTTCAGAGGACGCTACTAAAAACGGGATCCAATTTTTATAAGAGTGAGTTTGTACCCCCTGTTTTATTGGATATCGGATATCGTACATCGGACATCGGATCGCGGTGTGAATCGTACATTATACAAGTAAAACTGGGTTGTAGATCTCGTGTTGCAGTTGGCGCCAAAATATACTTGTGTTGATACGAGCAAAGTGTGTGACACATAAGTTGTAAAATACGCAAATTTATTACTATAATATTTAATTGTTTAAATTTTATCAGTTAATAAACATGCCACTAATAATAAATCCAATGCGATATGCTCATCAAGAAGGACATACTGACGTTTGTTATTATTCTGGTCAAACGTAAATATAGTATATTATTTACTACTTATAATGTTTCAGCAAAATCATTATCATAATATCTGTAATTATAGGAAAGGACTTATCACTTGTGGATGCGATGGAGATGTCAGATCTTGGTTGAGTATAATGGATGATGATCCAGCCACAAGCTGTATCTCTGAACAAGCAATTACAGTAATTTCGAAGGTAACTAACAATTGTAAATCATCTGCAGTATAAGTTAAAGTAATATAAAGTTAAAATATTTAAAAAAAATTCTATATGAAGAAAAATATTGGAGGCAAATGAGAATTTTATATCTGATGGTTTCATCTTAGGATGGTAAAATCTTTGTGGGAAATGATAATAACACAGTGCAAATACTTACTTATCCTGATTTGGAGAAGGAAGGGATAGTTACTAGATTTTCAGCACCAGTCTCAGCATTAGCTACAGCAAAAGACAGTAAATTGATTGTATCTGGATCCTGGTATATTATATACATATAATATAATGTTATTTATACAATGAGAAATTAAGTAAGTCTTGATAACTGGATTTTTTTTAAGCGATATGCGGATACAAGTCACAAATATCAATACATTAGATAGCACAGAATTAGAGGGTCATGAAGCACCTATCTTGGGCTTGTCCTTAGATCCGAAAGAAGAATTTGTAGTTGGTATTTTGTGTTATATCTGAAATAACTTTACTTTTATGTAATACTTTGTTAGTTTAAAAAAAATATATGTGTGTGTGTGTATATTTTAGGCATCTTCTAGTGCAGATGGATCCATTCGGATTTGGAATATTAAGGAAAAGCGAGCTATACATACTTGGAATAACATTGTGCCAAAATCTAACTCTTTTTTTACTGCAAAATTATATTGCACTCCCTCTTTTAAATGTACAGATGGTAGCTGCCTTGCATATCCATCTAACAAAGATGTAGTAGTGGTGGAGAGATCATCCTGGAAGGAATTGTATAGACTGAAATATTCTAATTTAAAAACTGTAAGTTGGCATAAGTTTCTTTTGTCATGATAACAATTAGACTGCATACATTGTTCTCCTCATTGTTATAGGAACTTAGTATTTGCAAATTTTCTGAATGTGGCAGACGTATAGCTGCTAGTTCACTATATGGAGAAATGATTGTCTGGGATGTAGAAACTAAAAGTGTGATTGGATACCTTGAACATGAACAGAATGCCAAAATTACCGCGTTGGTTTGGCACTTAGAATCCAATGAAATTGCATTCTGTGATACACTTGGAAAATTAGGATGTATTGATGTGGTAAGGAAGCATATTTCACTGTTATGTATCTAACAAGATTTTATTAGCTTGTTTGGAGAAGTCCTGACCTTTAATCTTTCTAGGTAATCCCTGATAAATCCGACATTGAAGTAATTCCGGATTCTGAAAGAAATGGACATGTGACAGTAGATGGAGTAGAAGACGACGAAGTAGACATTGACGGAGAAAATGTGATATCGTTGGATAAAATCAAGGCTTCTACTGGTTTGCAGGATGACGAAAAGGAGGATTCCGACGACGACAATTCAGATGCACCTTCGAATGATATGAAAATTGTAGCCGATCTACAATCGTGTTTCCAATCGGGGTCAACACCTTCTCATTTAATGTCGTATTACATGGTGCAGTATAAACCACAATAACGCATTTCTATTTCGTACATTCTTGTAGAGATCTTCACTAAATTTTTGGACGATGTTCGCAGGTTTGGAACGATGTAGGAATGGTCCGAAGTTTTTCGCAAGATGACGAGAAAGATTACAGTATCGAGGTAGAGTTTCACGATGCTGCAGTTCATCGTAGCATGCATATTAATAATTACCTGAAACATGCAATGGCTGCTTTGTCCACCCAAGCACTCGCAATGAGCTGCCAAGCGTCAGAGGATGGTCCTAGTAAAATTGTCGTGTTAGCTCTGCAAGGTTGAGATCAGTTGATCTATTTAATATAAAAGATATAGATTTTTTGTGTAAAATAAAATCACATTTAACAAACTTAGTCATTTCTCTGTGCATTAGGTTGGGGTACTGGAAATAAAGAGTGGTCTGCGGATATGCCGGAGGACGAACAAGTGGAGTGTATAGCGGTCGGCGACACCTTCGTAGCAGTTGCCACATCTAGAAGAAATCTAAGAATATTTATGATAGGAGGCACACAACGCGAGGTCTTAGGATTGCCCGGGCGCGTGGTTACGATGAATGGTCTAAGGAAAGACTTGCTAATAGCTTATCACACTGCCGTTGGTGAGTAACTACGGCACGATAAGAGATTAACAGCTTGAACCATATAATTGTAAATCCGTTTCTTGACGAGTAGGTACGGGTGGCGATCAGCACATAAATCTGCTGTGGATACAAGTGCAGGGAGCATCTTTACGAAGCCAAACTCTTCCCGCACCCCTGTCGCCAAGTTCAGACCTCATGTGGTTGGGATTCACCTCTGATGAGGGCTCTCCTACCACTATGGATGCTGATGACGTTGTTAGAATATATGACAAGAGGTCCTGCCTGTGGAGAGTGGTGTGCGATACAAATCTAATGGTATAAGTTCTAAACAAATTTTCTAATTACTTATTTATATGTGATTATAGTCTGTTGTAATCTGGTTTTTTTTTTTAGAATAAGGGCAAGGCGGATCATTACTTCATGATCGGTGTTAGCGAACGCGAGCGAATTATGCGCTGTATCCTCTGCAAAGGCGGCTTCTATCCACCTACAACACCGCGTCCAATAGTTACCGAGGTGCCTCTGTCTGCGCCTCTGTGCGAACCGGAATCGGAAAAAACCGAGAAGGAACGTAAATTGTGGCAATTAGGAAGCAGTCCATCGAATGAAACTGAGGCAATATTAATTCTAATAGCAGTAAGTATTTGTTGAATGCTTCTCATTCGCTTCGACTTTACGACTTTCAAATGTAAATTGAGTATTAATTCCTCCTCGCAATTAGCACGCTTGCCGAAACAATTTGGAATATCGCGCGGTGGATATCTGCGAACAAATTGCGTCCGTGGAAGCAATAGACATGGCTATCAAGTACGCCAGGCGTATCAATAAAAGGGCGTTGGCAAGCAAATTAGAGTCGATCGCTGAAATGAAGGAGAAAAAGGAAGAGGATAAAAACATAGAGAATTGTCAGGACAGTTTCGCGATCAATGACGACTTTAATAATATTCACGAGGAAGAAACAGATGATGTGCTTTCAGTTACCGCTAAGCAACCAGATGTGGAAATTAAGCCGTTAGCGGTAACTGTGAAGAGAGTAAACCCATTTCTAAAATCGGAAAACTCGTCCCCGTCGGCAAGAGGTAAGTGATGCTACGACAATTAGTAAAGAATTGCATGATAGTATATGGTTCTAGATGATTCTAATTAACAATAGCGTAAACAAGAGCCCGAGTCGCAGATGTTGATGTATATTATGTATCGATAACAAATTCAGAATTTTACAGGTGTACAAGTGTACACCAGACGTACAGGTGTACATTAAACATGCCAGTGTGCGCTTTGGGCTCCCTTTAAGCAAACGCATACATGTATAATAATATGTGACTCAAATTCTTGCTTTTTTCTATATACTTAACAATAAATAAAGTCTAATCTTTTCTCTCTTTGCAAATACTCTAGTTTATCGTTGGAAAAGTTTGCTTATATTATTATATTATGGCAGGTTTAGCCGGTTTGAATAATTTGCCGGAGAAATCTCAGAAAGTTGCATTAACGAAATTCGTACCTGCCAAGTCGAAGTCGAAGGATGTCCCTAAGAAAGAATCATTCGTTAACTGGTACGCGAAGAACAAGAAGAATTTACAAGAAGAATTTCCTGATCTAAGTATCCCTGACTTAACTAAGATCGGCTTAACACGATTCAAAGAGCAGACGGTGAAATCGAGTTCTGATACTGAGACATGCTCGACGACGAAAGAAGAGAGCAAGAAACGGAAATTGTCGAATTCGGAGGACAAGCAGGAAGTCCAAGCGAAACGAACCACTAGCAGTATTCTCAGCAAATTCGCATTCGACAAGTAAATTTTATTTTAAAAAGTTAAGCGGAAACCATTTTAATACTAGCTCAATAATTGTTTTAACACATGCAATAAGTTTTATCCATCGCGTCTTTTATTCTCTCGATACATATTAAACAAGATTAAGTAGAGGAATGTTTCCTTTCTTTCTCGTGTGATCTTATATATTTATTTATATTTGTGTTCAGTTATATGCAAAAAGAACTCGCGAAGTAAGACTGGTTGACTATGCCGACGCTATAAAAATGCGGCGAGGAATTAGCTTCATTATCCCTAAGTATAGCATTGCGGACGTCTTTGAGAGCGTTGCGATACATCATCCGTCATTGAGACGACGAGGTATTTATGCGATAAGTAGATAATGATCGACGTGAATTTGCGCGCCGGTGAAAAGATGTCACGCTCTCGCGAGCTCGCGCGCGCGCGTTCGCTCTCGTATGTTCTGCATCCACCCTTCCGCGTCGATAAAGCAGAATGGTGGGAAACTTAAGTTCTGTTTTTAGTTCGTCTCCGTCTCTCGCGTACTCGACACGGTAGTATACGGTGACGGGAAATCATATCGCGCTAGCCGAAAATAAATTCTCGCTTTACAGACGGGAAACGGTGGTAGCATAAGTAAAAATATCAATCAAACGATGAAAGGTAAGTCAATCTGTGATTTGGGCGACTCTGCGCGACTTATTAATTATCCTCGAAACTTGACCGAGAACGAATGTGCTAAATATAAATTTGGGCACACTCACGCCAGCAATATGCGCGAAAAGCGTGTCTTTAATTGCATCATCAGGACGCACACGCTGTGACAACTAGTTTCGCGAATGCAGTTTCGTGAGGAACGGATTTGGTGTGATTACCGTGTTTTGTGTCGTGCACGCAATTTTTATACATTGTGCCACATGTCAGCGGACAATTTCCGTGCACTATTTTTCATTTTCTTTATCTTGTCGTGCTGATTCGGAAATACGCGTATTACGCCTTGCGTGTCGTTGATGTTTCTTCTATTTTAATTTAGGTCGCGTTTCACGAAGAATAATATCGCATTGATTACGTTGTTCGCGTAATTTTGCATTTTAACACGTATTGTCATATATGTTGTCACTTCGTATTTCTCGGAAGGTATCATTTCGCAAAACGTTTTTTTTTTGCGCTGACTAGACATCTCATTGTTCCTTCTAAACGTGTAAAATTTCAATCGTTCAGTCGTGCAATTGCATAGCGTCTCGTTCATCTATTCGTGCGTGTAAGACGACTAATTTACCGTTCAACGGAACGAATATGACCGTGATATAGTTCGTTGATGGAAGATTGACGATTTATCGTTTAAAAATAATTTTATCTAATATTCATCATTCCATGCGTTATTGTATTCCACGACGTTATTCCACATTAATTATTCGTATTATGTCTCAAGTTACATATATCTCGATATTATACCGTCGATCATCGCAATTATAATTATGTATATAAAATATTTCTAATCCACCCGAAGTTCACGGGTATCTCTTCTTATATGCGATAATTATTGATCTAGCTATTTTAAGAGGCGAGCCACTGTTTATACTATTGATTAAATTAATATTTCACTATACCATATATCGTATATATCATATACAGTGTAAAATTTTGAGTCGTTATTAGAAAAAGAACAACGATCTTATCACTGGTCACATTTTACTTAGAAATAAACATACTTTAAATAAATCATACGTAATAAATATGATCGGCTAAATCTCGCAATTTTACACACATACACATACACATACACACACACACACACACACACACAAAACACGCAATATATACAACATTGTGCGCTAATGCATATTTATTTTATGCATTTTACAGCATATATTATTATCTCTTAACAGTAAAGAAAATAGACTGAAGAATGTTTGGCGGCATCGAAAAAAGTTGGATCGAAATGGGTAATGGCGCTATTACTGTTTATCGCGGCTTGCTATTATGCTTCTTATGCAGAGATCTGATACGCTCTTATCGTTAATGCCTTTATTAACTGTAAATATGTATTATGATTTTTTATTTCATTATCTACTATATCGTACGCTGTTTTAAGCCGTGAAATTAACAAATGTTTGTTTTATCTGGTTTAGTAAGTCGTATTGATAAGCAAATATCAATAGTAATCATGGAGATACAATTCAAACTGCGACGGTTGAAAACTCGGCGACAATGATCAAAATATGTTATTTTTTAAATTTCAGAACAAGAATATAAATATATTTTGACGGAAAGATGCAAAACGCGCGTACAAACGCAAAGATAATATTTTTACTGTTGATAATATTATGAGGAATAATATTGTTTGTACACAAATACTGAAAGTACTTCGAATATTTAAATCAATACAGAGTGATAATTTTATTATAAATTAAGAGAATATGTCCGATAGATATGATCCTTTATATGATCCCTTTCTTATACGAAAGAACATTAGCACTAACCATATTTTCATGTTTTACTTGAAGATAATGCCTTAGTAATGCGGTCGTCATAACACTGCAAAAATAAAAGATAACATTTGTTGAGAATTTAAGGATTAAATTTATCTTGTAACGAATTGCTGACATACTGGATAGGCGTGAGGTTTGTCGCTATGCAACAAGTTGAATATTTTTGCAAAATTCGTAATTCTACATTTGTGTGCATAGACAGTCACTTATGTGACATTTCTATACTTCTTATAAACATAGTACAAAATAAATACAAAAAAATAGTAACTAAAAAAATAAATAAAAAATAGTGTATTTTGCTTAAACACAAACTGTATTTTGCTTAAGAAAATTTTATTTTTATTATATATTAGTATCAGCATTAGTTAATTAGCATTAAATGCTAATTTTGTATGCGCACGTTTAACGCCTTGTCCACAACCTTGCTTTAATTCTTAAGTCGTAAGAAATTGACCAACCACAGTTGATTATTTTTAAAATAATTTTAAATTTGTTTAAAGATTAAAGCAAGGTTGTGGACAAGGGGTAATATGATTGCATTGCGTATAGAGTTGTTGAATGAGACGAGATGTTAGCTTCTTTTAACGGTATGAGTAACGAGATTCATCCTTGAGATAAGCGAAAAGTAAGTGGACTCGATTGAGTGTTACGAATACGTATGCAAATCTTACATGAGCGTAAAAATTTCGGAACTTGCAAAGTGAATAATTCGTATTCACTTGTCCAAACACGATGCAGATACGTCGACTTCAACTTGTGTAAAACTCGACAAACTGCTGATATAAGTATGAAACATATGACAGAGTGTGTATAAATTGATAACTGGGTTAGTGATACGTCTTGTAATTTATAGTATGATGGTAGCAATAACATCTTAATTGGTAATCTCGTACATATGTAGATACGTGTATCGCTATCTTACTTATTTGATCACGGATATTGAATTCTACTTTGTACAGGTAATAATACCTGTTTTTCAATATGCTATAAAACATCACGCAATGCAATCTTTCAAGCGTGTTTTCCTCAATTACCAGAATGAATGAGATGTCTCGCGGAAAGCAAATCCACGTATGACGTCGGTCAATTTTACATGCACATTAAGAAATAGTTATTTCACGCGAAGAGGAAATTTCTTGCGAAAAAATACGAACAACGAGCGGACGACGTAAAGCACAGTATTATTTTGCAGTTTTATTCGGTCACTCTGTGCTCTCTGTGATTTCATATGTGTGCCATTTAATCGGGAAATGAATGCGATTATACTTATAATATCAAAATACTATAAAGACTCACGTTATATTCGGCTACCTTTCTGAATAATCCTCAACATGTCGCGTTCATTGCACGGTAAAAAAAAGTCATGTGATAATATACGCTTGATTCTGTGTAGTGTAATGACAGATTGTTATTTTCCTTTCACGACGTTTTATACGTCGCATTGCGTCGTGTCTGTGCGCGGATTAGGCAAAACTTTTTCTGATGTTATTCAGGTTTTGGATTCACGATTTGTTCGTATCCTCTTTTCATAAATTTTGGAGCCGTGTACGCGTAACTTATGTAATTCTCGCCGTTGCGACAGAGACGACCACACCTTCGCGTGTAAGCCAACATGACGGCTATTGTTGCAATCTGCATGCGCTTACCGTATTATAATCTCGGATATACCATCGAGACGGTACCGTTACTGTAATAGCGATATGCATATGCGTGCGATCACGTGTGCCGCAGCCGTCACGCCGGTGCAATGACACCGTTAATTTGCACCGAATATTGCATCACACATCGGTGTGTTATATAATACCGGTTCGTACATTCGTGAAGGTTTAATTACGCCTTTGCGGTTTGTTGCAATAAATCGGTTGTCGACCCGTTGCATGCACGTAGAACAATCAACGAGTTATTTAAGAGATTTAGAATGCACTCGTTTTCATACTGAAAATATCTCTATCTTCCTTTAGCATGTGCGATAAAGATAGAATGATGTTATCAGCACGAAAGCGCCTAAAATGAGCGCAGTCTTAGGACTCCTCGGTACTCGTATCATCCCATCTCTTTTTAGTGACGTCAGAAGCGGGAAAACGCATGCTAAAATTCTTGCGGAGAACATTGAAATAAAAACGATACATCCATAAGGCGACACTTGCAATCGATTGCAAAATTTGTGAATCTGTAAAATAGAAAGTCTGAACATTTCTCTTTTACTATATAAATTATTGATTGTTAGAGAAAAAGAAAATATATTTTTTATTTCGATGTATTTCGCAAGAATTTTACTATACGTTTCCTCGCTTCTGACGTCATTAAAAAGAGATAGACGATGCGAGTATCTAGGAGCCTTAATTGATACGTATGACATGAACTGGACGCGGAAGCTACAATCGAAGTTTAAATTGAATGCACCTGAACACTAGAGCATACGATATCAATAATTGCAGTTTGAACATGTTATTTTCATTTTGTAGAATTTTTTTTACGTCTCTATTAATTTATAAATTAATTTGTTTGGCCTACACGATCATTGCTTTTTTCAGTCGGTCTTATCAATTTATCTGGGAGCTATTTAAATGCTTAGAGAACGATGTATAATGGGAATCGGGATTGCTACCAATCGTAGTTCACGCGGAAATGTAATGTCTTATTATTAGATCAGCTCTGCGGGGTTTGCGGTTTAGATTAGAACGCAATACGAGGCCGGTCGATAGAAACTAATATCCTGTCGAAATATTATTAATATTATACACTCCGCAGTGCTTAATATGGCGCAGTAATATGGTGTAAGTAAACGCGATAAATGAATGAATCTTACTTGGAAAGCATATTGTAGATATTGTGTATCAGAATAATTCTACACCAGATGCGTTCTATGTAGAATAATGACTTTCCTCATGTTTCAATCGAAAGTTTCGCGATAAAGTACTGATTGCATACTTATCCCACTCTGAAGTAATCTGAATATTGTTTTCGCTTTAATATCGAACATACAATACTGCTTTCTTTCAGGTCTTATACCATTGGATCCCATCCAGGAGGCAATGGGTCATATGGGCCCGTGGCATATCGTGATTGCGGTAGCGATTTCTCTTGTCAAATTTCCTGTAGCCTGGCATCAGCTCTCCATCATATTCCTCGCACCGCCCACTAATTTTACGTGCGTCGCGCCGTTATCAGTCACAAATGAATCCATGTTTATGAAATGCGAAGTAGACGTAGGAAACAGCACTGTGGAAGAATGTACCAGCTTTAGATATGATAAGCGAATATTCCGAGAGAGTATTATAACGCAGGTTAGTTTTTATCAGACATATAATGCTTCACTGTGCTATTTAAGTTGCGTTCGGAGAGACGGTATTTACCGTTAAAAGTGTGTTTTGTCCTTGTTCAACTTTTAATGAGTAACAAGGACAGAACACGCTTTTAGTGCCAAATAGTGTCTTTCCGAACGCAGCTTTAATATGATATCTTATTTGTTTCATTATATATATAATACACACACACACATTATATATATTTTTTTTTATATATAATACACACACACATATATTTTTATATATATATAATACACACCACACACACACACATACACACACATATTATATATATATACATATATATATGTATAATGATAAAAATGTTATGTTATAATAATTGTTTTTTTAATTAAATGTAAGTGAAACAAACTGTAATAATTGAAACACAATGATCTTTATTTTTATTTTCAGTGGGACTTAGTATGCGACAAAGAACAATTAACGAACTTTGCGCAGTCCTGTACAATGTTTGGTGTGTTAATTGGCAATTTAATCTTTAGTATGATGGCTGATAGGTATCTTAGTTCCATTATTATCATATAGCATAATATGACTATATAAATAAGAGATTGTAATATTATGATGTTATGGAAATTGCATACATACCCATATCACTCTTTTTCTCTCATTTCGTTTTGCATAGAATTGGTCGAAAGAAACCATTGATGATCGCGATCGCGTTGCAGTCGATCACAGGGTTTGCGAGCGCATTCGCACCGTGGTACGAATTATTCCTGGTGCTTAAAACCGCCTGCGCCTTGGCCACTGGTGGAACGATGCTCGTTACCTTCGTTTTACGTAAGTCCAATGCGTTGTACATCGATGCTGTAGCACGTTTCTGCATATCAAATTAATCAATTAATTAATTATAGTTATGGAGATTGTTGGGGTTGAATGGCGGTCGACTGTATCTGTCTTGTTCCATGTACCGTTTTTGTTTGGACATCTCATGAACCCATTAATATCTTATTTGACACGAACGTGGTATGGGTTCCAAATGGCCATCTCGATACCCTCCATTTTTCTATTAACATATTATTGGTACGTGCAGCGTACCAATTACGTAATTACGTAATTATGTGTACTGCTATTAAAGTAATATATAACGTTTAAAAGTTATTTCTCGCTAAATATAAAATTCGCAAAGTACTTACCGCACTTGAACTAGTCACGAAGGATTAGTGGATAAAGGATTTTGTCTTTGCAAAATAGGGTCATCCCAGAATCTCCGAGGTGGTTATTAGCCGTAGGCAAACCCAGACAAGCGGAACAAATTCTTCTGAAAGCTGCTAATCGGAACAAGATATCGGTAGAAAATGTGAAATTAGCTCTCGAAACTCACGAAAACCAGGCAGCAATCCGACTGGGAAAGAGCAGCGAGAAATATAATATTACACATTTATTTAGAACTCCGAATATGAGACTGAAGACTATATGCATAGCGCTCAACTGGTTCGTTTGCGGCAGCTGCTTCTTCGGGTTGGCGCAATACGTGGGCCACATCGACGGCAATATATTCATTAATGTCGCCGTTTCGGGTAATTCGCAATTTCCATGTCTACAGTAAATTATTTCTTGTGTGACGTAAAATACATTACTTTTATAATGTTCTAGCCGTTATGGAACTGCCGGGAACCGTGATAGTTTTGTTTTTGATATCACGAGTTTCCCGTTTAAAAATCTTGATGGGTGGAAACATTTTGTCCGGTGTGAGCTTGATCCTAATAACTGTGGTGTCCGATGTGAATGTCCGAGTATTTTTGGCTTCGCTCGGTCTCGTAGGAATGGCTATCAGTTTCCCCACAATATACTTGTACAGTGGCGAAGTATACCCAACTGTCGTGAGAAACGTTGGCGTTGGTTTGGGAAGTATCTCCGCCAGGATTGGAAGTATTATCGCACCATACATCGCCACGATGGTAATTTACAAAATATTATGTATTATAATGTATATTATACATACTATGCGCTTTTTATAATGAAAACAGAATTATATATTATATATTGATTACTCCTATATGATAAATGACAAAACTTCTCGCGCATTTTGTTCTTAAAGATTAAAGAGACGCGATAATTTACAGGGTTCTATCCAACCGTGGCTACCTCCAGTAATATTTGGCGTAGGACCATTAATAGGCGCCATACTCTGTTTCTTTTTACCAGAAACAATGAACTGTGAATTGCCAGAAACAATAGAGGATGGTGAAAATTTTGGAAAGTATGAACGCTATGTTAAAACATTATATTATAGTTTTATAGATATTTGTACTAATATTACAAG